GTGGGAATGTACCGCGTCCACGGTCCGACTTTGGAAATAATTATGCATACAATGGACTCAGGACAAGGTGCGTCTGTGAATGTACCACGTCCACGGTCCGACTTTGGAAATAATTATGCATACAATGGACTCAGGACAAGGTGCGTTGATGTACCACGTCCACGGTCCGACTCTGGAAATAATTATGCATACAATGGACTCAGGACAAGGTGCGTTTCGGAAAGTACCACGTCCACGGTCCGACTTTGGAAATGATCATGCATACAATGGACTCCGGACTAGGTGCGTTCCTCTAGTACATTATGACCAAGTTGCGAAAACAAGGTCAAACAACATCTTCTTTGTTAATATTATCTCCAGTAGCTGCTTTTAGCTTTGGCTCTGTGACCTTCTTTCTTAGCTTATATAATAATGCCATTCATCGCAATATATTCGGCCACATAATTTTTGGCACGATATTTATTTTAGCGATGAACTAATTACTTATTACATTTTGTCAAATATTTACTTTACATCTTGTACGCACCTTAAGCTTTATCTCATACAACATATTCAACCTATTTAAGCTGGTACTTCATTTTAGTTTTTTATAAATGATTCAGACAATTTTGCATTTTAAATTACTTAAATTTTGCATGTTATTCACTTTGTCACGTCGCAAACTTCTATAGTCGTTGTTTTATTACTTATTTTACCTTCATCAACTCCCACTTCAGTTCCACCTTGTCACCAACTCACTCTCGCCGAAGAATGTCCTTAATAAGCAGCCGAGTTGTACCCAGCGACCGTCTCATCTCCCGGTTACAGGCTACTAACCGTTCTCCTCATTCTCTTAGACATCCTTTATCAAACCATTACTCTAAACTTCCTCACAACCGTCCTCTTCACCATCTCAGTCAACTAGATCAATGTAACCATCATCCTTCATGTAGTCTCAAAAGCTTGCGGCATAACTCCGTTCCCACCGCCACTACCTCAGCTTTCAAGCCAATTCTTTCCTCATTTAACTCAGCTACTCTTACTTTTGAGTCTCTAAGCAGCACCTCGTCGTTGCAGACTCCCTACCGACGAGTTCATGCGACTCGCAAAGCCTGGCCCAAAGAGACACTCGGAAATTTGGCCTTGCTGTCCGACAAACCCAAACAGTCAGAAGAGCACCAAAATTGTCTTGACCTTAGGTGATTACCATCAGGAAAATTAATTTTTATTTTGTGCCATTTTGTGATTTTTTTGCACATGTTATGTGCATTGTTTATGTAAGCTAGTAATCACAGTGATGATATTGTTGGTTTGATCTGATTTTCGCAACTGAGTCGGAGCGGCAAGGAGGCATAGTGGAACATACCATGTCTTGCATCCTCTGACAGCATTCATGATGATTTCTCGCACCGGACCGTTGACTCGATACATTCCCAGACGTTTCGCCGGTATCGTCAGTGAGAAGCGCCATCCTTAGCACATCATTACAACCTATTAAAATGAAAAATAAAGGCATTTCCCTTAACCGGTTTTCTGTTCAATCTTTGTGGCATCACTCCTCGTTCCCATCTTTGTCCTATCCTCTAGTGCTGCATCTCTTTCTCTTAACCCCACATCATATGGGCAATTTACCTATTCACAGTATTATGTGTTCTCATTTTCTCCAATGTCGTCTAAGAGTGTGTCGTTTCATCTAGATTTATTAAGATGTAGACTCTTTTACTCTCGCTCTTAGATGCCTTTCGCAGGGTTTCTAAGTCATGGCTTCTTACCACCTCGCTCGTAAACTTGCCCCCGCTACACATAACATCTCACGTTTGTTCTTAATTTATTCTTCACCATATTTACAGAACTAAGGTTGGAATTTTTTAATATATGATTATTAGGAGCGTGAGGCTTGTGGATGAATATCATCGGACCGAAGAGTTAAAAAGACTACGTCATATTCTTGGAGAATAATTATCTTCTGGGCTTAATTGATGATAATATATCTTCAGTAAGGAATACATTTTCAGGCGAAGACTATTTTGACAGAGAGAGACAAGCCAATACCCTTTCTCGTGTTCTTATCTTACCGTCATGTTTTCTTTCCAGGAAGAACTAGTGAAGAAGTGGGGGATAAAGACATTTTCTTTGGTTATATCTTCTTTTAGAGAGAAATATGACCCATTATCGAGGTCTGGCTGCTGCAAGATTGCCTGCTCCTGTGGTCGACCTTATGTCGGTGAGGCATGCCGGCCTATTCGACAAAGACTATAACACAAAAATACTTGTAAAGTAGCCGGGTCCAACGGTCAAGTGACCGAATATATGTCAGAGACTGGACATGAGATAGAATAGTCTCGTACGCAGAGGTTTGCTTATTATTGTGTGACTGCTACGAGACGCAAGATAAGAGAGGCTATTGAAATTAGTAGATTAGGGATTACGTTGAATGTCAGTTGAGTAATGGTTCTTTCCTAATTAACCCTCATTCGACAGAAATGTCAAGCTCATCAGCTGAAACAGACGTGCGGGGTTACGAAATCCCAAGCAGGCTTTTTCTTGGATCATTAAACATTAATAACCTAGACTAAAGGGTTCGGACTGGTGGTTTCGTAACCTGAATTTAACGTGTACAGATTTACATTCATCAATTT